CTCATCAAACGGGCCAATCACACGTCTCCCAGACCAGACTGCATAAACTATCACTAATGACGACGGGATTGTTGAGTCCCTATGCTCTGTATTTTATTATATATTTTGTTTTTTTGTGGCAATCAATTTAAAATCCAGTTCTTATGTGGATTTTCTTTTTCAAATGTAGATCAGAAAAATCAAATACTGTTCCATGGATGCACTGACATGTTAGAGCCCTAAGAACCAAGTCTGAGGAGCACAGGGATTGGTCTACTGCTGGGACTCTGAGGAGCACAGGGACTGGCCTCCTGCTGGGACTCTGAGGAGCACAGGGACTGGCCTCCTGCTGGGACTCTGAGGAGCACAGGGACTGGCCTCCTGCTGGGACTCTGAGGAGCACAGGGACCGACCTCCTGCTGGTCCCAGAGTCAGGACTAAACATGGGGAGGCTGTCAATCTTCCTGAAAATGTGAGACAGGCTTCTTCTCTGACAATATTTTAATCCAGGTTAAAAACAGTTGTGATATTTATGATTTTAACGCCTTGTGTGACTGTCTCCATCTTGTTTCGTTCATCTCTTTGAGTTGCCTTGTAGGTACGTGGCTGAGTGGTTAGCACTCTCGCTTCTCAGCAAGAAGGTCCTGGGTTTGAATCCGGTCGGAACAGGGCCTTTCTGAGTGGATTTTGCATGTTCTCCCCGTGTTTGCGTAGGTTTCCTCCAGGTAAAAACATGTATAGGCCTGTGCCTCCTGTACTGGCCCCTCCCATTTCTGTGTAGAGTCAGAGACCAATGCCCAACAATAACAATTGTAAACGGCTTTGACTCTGGTCTGAGAAAGACGCTATATAAATATACATTACTAACTACTAACTAAACATGTTTTACTTTTTTCCTGGGCCAGAGTAAAAAAAGCGGGCACCAAAGACTAGCAAGGGTTAGCAAGGGTTAGCAAGAGTTAGCAAGGGTTAGCAAGGGTTAGCAAGAGTTAGCAAGGGTTAGCAAGGGTAGGCAAGGGTTAGCAAGAGTTAGCAACAGAGCAAAGGGATCTACATAAAAACACATGAGAGCGCTAAATTAAGTAGCATCTGCATTAAGTGGAAGGCGACACATGGTCCCTGATCACGATGGTTTGTCTCTGCAGCGAGTGGAAGGCGACACATGGTCCATGATGTGTGAACATGTAACACACATGGTTTGTCTCTGCAGTGAGTGGAAGGCGACACATGGTCCCTGAACATGTAACACACAATGGTTTGTCTCCGCAGTGAGGGGAAGGCGACACATGGTCCCTGATGCGTGAACATGTAACACACATGGTTTGTCTCCACAGCGAGTGGAAAGCGACACATGGTCCCTGATGCGTGAACAAGTAACACACATGGTTTGTCTCCGCAGTGAGTGGAAGGCGACACATGGTCCCTGATGCGTGAACATGTAACACACATGGTTTGTCTTCAGAACCATCATGGAGCCATACATGGTAGCCGTGGGTCATAGATTAACACACTCCCACGCAGCGAGAGAGAGGTGCACATTGTACCGCGGCAGATTCATGTAGACGTCATTTGCATATTCTATTCTATTCAATTTTATTCATTTATCGACCTAAATCACAACAGTAGCTTTCTCTGAGGACTTTACAAAACACAGATTAGAGAGACCACATGGTATTGGACCATGGGGAGAGACCACATGGTATTGGACCATAACGATACCACATGGTACTGGTCCATAGAAAGACCACATGGTATTGGACCATAGAGAGAGATCACATGGTATTGGACTATAGGGAGAGACCATATGGTATTGGACTATAGCAGTGGTTCTCAAACTTTTTACACCAAGTACCCCCTCAGAAAATACTTGCCTCTCCAAGAACCACCACAAATGACCAACACCACACAGTAGCGTAGTAAGTAAGTATTCATCAAAAACAAGGCAGAGGTTTCATTCCTAAAGAAGTATATTTAATGTAATGTTTTACACAGTTTCAACAGTAAGACTGCGCTTAAATATAGGAAAAATGTTTTTTAAATGTTTCATTCATTACAAACTGCAAAGCCTCACTGTGAGTGATATTCTGGAGTGAGATCTTTGTCCACAGAAGGTTTGGACTCTGGATTAGTTTCTAAGGCTTGGTCTGCTGCCCTCTTACATCTGTCGTTTACTCAAATGATCGTTTGTTGCTCTCTGTTCCTTTTGCACAGAACTGGGAAAAAAACTTCTACATGGAACGTGTTGCAAAAAGACTAGAAATGATCTTATTTCCTTGAATGCTTTTAGATCCAGATTGAGACATCTTCAGTGAAATGTAACTGTTTTTATAATCCGTAATTTTATGAAATTGTGTTACTGTTGTATAATCTCTATGTGACCGTTTTATAATTTTATGTAATTTTTGAACAGGAAAAAGAGGTTCTCATTGACTGCCAGCCATTTTTTGATGACTTCACTGATTTTTAAGACTCACAGAATATTGTGTGCTATGAAAAATATGAAACCAGAGTCTGAAAGACTGGACTGTCTACTTTCAGCAGCAAAAAGAAGTTTGTTCTTAGTTTGTTTCGTTCTCCTGTGATCTCCAGTCGAAAAGAGGAGAGTGTGACAAAAAGCACCAGTCTTAGACAAAAAAATTAGAAAATGAGGTGTTTGTGAAAACAGACGAACTGCAGAAAAGTGATTGTAAAACTATTTAGTTTAACTTTAGCATCTCCTCAAACATGTCCAGGATCTTACATGTTAGAAAACAGCAACAACACATTATGAGAAAGTGTTTTTGATGCAAAATAATACGTTTTATGGCACACACACATCCACAAAGTGTTGCTCAAATATTTCTAAATGTACTCATCCAAAAACTGTCAAAATGTACATATTGAAAGTAGAGCCCATGACAAACTATGACAGATAGAATGGCCAGTATTCATCCATTAGGTGGCACTATATTTATGTCAATAAGAGTAAATCAAAGAATAACAAAATTACAATGATAAACACTATACATGACAATAAATCAAAGTGAATACTTATAGCATAAGTGCATTAGAATACTGCTGTGTGTGTTTGTGTGTTTGGGCGTGCATGTATGTGCGTTTATGCACGCGTTTGTGTGTTTTTGTGTGGTTACATCTACAGAGCGTCTGTTTAGTCTGTGACCATAATTGGACTTTGCTGCTGGCTCCTGGTGTGGACTCAGTGATAGTTTTAGCAATAGTCCACTTTTCTGTGGCTTTTTTGGGGTGCTCCGCTGGTCTGCTGCTCTGACCCTCCACATGGTCTGCTGCTCTGATCCTCCACATGGTCTGCTGCTAGGACCCTCCACATGGTCTGCTGCTAGGACCCTCCACATGGTCTGCTGCTAGGACCCTCCACATGGTCTGCTGCTAGGACCCTCCACATGGTCTGCTGCTAGGACCCTCCACATGGTCTGCTGCTAGGACCCTCCACATGGTCTGCTGCTAGGACCCTCCACATGGTCTCTGTCAGCTCTGGAGACACATTTACTGCTCAAACTGCCTCCAAATGTAGCCTGACCCTGACTATATTACTCCATGTCTGCTTCACCTCTGTCTCTCCTGCTCAGAGTGCTCAGGCAGTGATCTTTGACCAAACCAGGGAGTTCTGCTGCCACCTGCTGGCCTAATAAAATACTGTCTACAGCCAAACCCCAGACATGGAAAAGATTGAAAAACAATGTTGTCCTCAAATGACTTCCATGGCAGAGAATGAGTTAATCTCAATGGGACTTTCCTGGTAAAATACAAAAAAAAAAAAAAAAAAAAAAAAGTTTGTTTTTTTTTTTCACAGATTCTATGGCGTACCACTAGGGGTACCCCAGTTTGAGAAACACTGGACTATAGGAAGAGACAACATGGTATTGGACCATAGGGAGAGACCACATGGTATTGGGCCATAGGGAGAGACCACATGGTATTGGGCCATAGGGAGAGACCACATGGTATTGGACCATAGGGAGAGACCACATGGTATTGGACCATAGGGAGAGACCACATGGTATTAGTCCATAGGGAGAGACCACATGGTATTGGACCATAGAGAGACCACATGGCATTGGACCATAGAGAGAGACCACATGGTATTGGACCATAGAGAGACCACATGGTATTTGTCCATAGGGAGAGACCAATGACAAATGTATCTGTGTTAGGGTTGTGCAGCGTGTGGAGTGAGGCCAGACAGACGGAGGAGGAGGAGGAGGGGGAGGGTGGGGGAGATGAGGAGGAGGAGGGGGGGAGGAGGTGGAGGAGGTGGAGGGGGGGAGGAGGTGGAGGAGGAGGGGGAGGGGGAGGGTGGGGGAGATGAGGAGGAGGAGGGGGGGAGGAGGTGGAGGGAGTGGGCAGCAGAGGTCTAACCTGGTGCGACGGTGCGTTTGTTGTAAATAAACATCAGCTCAACATTATTCCACCCACGAAAGACCAACACTGAGGGGCCCTTGGGTCACACAAAGACACACACACACTCACACACAGACACACACACACACACACACACACACAAAGACACACACACAGACACACACTCACACACAGAGACACACACACACACAGAGACACACACAGAGACAGAGAGACACACACGTTTACATATTTTTGGGGACAGTCTGATGGCACAGACTGGTTGCCTCGCTTCTGTCAGTGTGCCCCAGGGCAGCTGTGGCTACAGTAGTTTATCTGCACTGTGTTTGGGGTAAAAGAATACTGATGTGAAGAGACTTTGACGGATGCATTATTATTATTATTATTATTATTATTATTAAATCAATCAATCCACCAGATACTAGTCCAGACCACGCCAAAGCCAGACTACAGCAAAGTCTAAAGGGAGACCACAGGAAAGATCAGACCAGAAGGACCAGAGACTACAGCAGAGACCTGACCATGAGGACCATAGAGACTGAACTAAGAACTTGGGAACTAGGCTTTTCATGATTCTAAAATCTAAACCCCTGCTCTCAGATGCCACACATGAATTAGATTTGAGTCACTGTTCCACTCACTGTTCGATGCTGGGAGAAAGGTAGAGTTTGGGGAACACCTGCGTGGCCTCGGCGTCTTCAAAGCTCACGGAGAGAAGAGCCACGTCCTCTCCAGGGTCCAGGGTCGTGTCCTGAGAAACACCAAACCAAGATTCAGATCAGATTCAGGTTATTTGCCATCTGCAGTAAAACCACAGTGGAATACATCCGCATAAATGCAAAATATTAACGTGCAGGAAACAATAGTCGCTGTGAAATGGATCTAAAATGGTTTCAATAAAAGAGATTATTAAAGTGCTGTGTTAAAACTGTTTGTGGAAAGAAGCTGTTGTCCTGCATGTCAGCGATCGATATCTTCTGCCAGAGGATGAATCTTCTGGCTTTTCCAGATGCCAGAAGATTCATTGAAAAAGTCTGGATTTATAAAGAACCTCCAGAACAGACAGATCACAGTCCTCTCTCAGAGCGGAGCAACTCTCTCTGCGGTCTCTCTCTGGCCTCTCTCTCTGGCCTCTCTCTCTGGCCTCTCTCTCTGGCCTCTCTCTCTGGTCTCTCTCTGGTCTCTCTCTGGCCTCTCTCTTTGGCCACTCTCCGGCCTCTCTCCGGCCTCTCTCCGGCCTCTCTCCGGCCACTCTCCGGCCTCTCCCCGGCCGCCTCTCCCCGGCCTCTCCCCGGCCTCTCCCCGGTCTCTCCCCGGCCTCTCCCTGGCCTCTCCCTGGCCTCTCCCTGGCCTCTCCCTGGCCTCTCCCTGGTCTCTCCCTGGCCTCTCCCCGGCCTCTCCCCGGCCTCTCCCCGGCCTCTCCCCGGCCTCTCCCCGGCCTCTCCCCGGCCTCTCCCTGGCCTCTCCCTGGTCTCTCCCTGGTCTCTCCCTGGTCTCTCCCTGGTCTCTCCCTGGTCTCTCCCTGGTCTCTCCCTGGTCTCTCCCTGGCCTCTCCCTGGTCTCTCTTTCTTAGTGTTTTCCAAATCACAGTACTTAAACTACTCCAAATCCTCTTTAAAGTCTGAGAGGCTGCAGCGGAGACCAGGAGAGACACCAGATGAGAACATCTGCTTGGTTTCATGGTACATTAGTCCTAACAGCTGCATGAGGCTGAGCTGATGACTGCGAGCACCATCAAATCATGTGTGAGAGACAAACGCCACCCAGAGCTGTGCAGAGCCACTCTGTGATGTTTTTCCTCCAGCACGGCGCTGTCATTAGTGCATTTCCACGTCAAATACCAATCTGGCCTGGTTTTCCTGACAGAGTGTTAATCAAATGTCTTACAGATGGTTTGAACTCATCCATTTGTTATAATCGCAGCTCGAGATGGGGAGAGGAAATAGAGCTACAAACATGATGGACAAAAGCAAAAAGCTACCAGTTAGCATTAGCGCAGCCTCCACATGAGCGGCCCATTAGCTCATCACACAGGGCTGAGTGACCGCTGGAGTGGGCGGGGAACTTCTCAGAGCAGATTTGCTTCAAATCAAGTGGAATAATATAAATTATCTTCTGCATGCACTCTACTAATTTGATTGGTTAACAAAGAAAATTACAACTTGATGGAAAAATTATATCACTGTAAGTTTGTTACATACACAACACGACACTTCATCCCTGCAGACATATGATTACCACTGAATGTGAAAAATACATTATTAAAATATATTTAAAAGATAAGATGAGAGACCCTCTTTTTGTCCCACAGTGGGGAAATTTCAATGTTGCAGCACACAGGACAGAAGTAAGAGACAAATAAGTAGCTGCTTTCTTAGCTACATGTAATGCTTCAATATCAATCTTTCAAAATATCTCCCTATAATTACAATTACAAATCATTCTTGTATAGTAAGTAAGTAAGTAGTAAGTAATGTTTATTTATATAGCTCCTTCTCAGACCAGAGTCAAAGCCGTTTGTAACTGTGGGCATTAGTCTGTCCCTCCACACAGAGATGGGAGGGGCCAGTACAGGAGGCACAGACCTATGGTACATGTTTTAAGTGGTAGGGGAAACCGGAGCACCCGGAGGAAACCTACGCAGACACAGGTAGAACATGCAAACTCCACTCAGAAAGGCCCAGTTTTGACCGGGATTCGAACCCAGGGACTTCTTTCTGAGAAGCGAGAGTGCTAACCACTCAGCCACCGTGCCCAAAATCACAACAGTATCATCTCAGAGACTGAACAAAACCATTGAAATCAGCAACACAGATCAGAGAATCAACAGATAAGACACATAAAATATAGACCACATGGTATTAGACCATGGGGAGAGAACCATGACCATGAATGTTGATGGTCCATACATGTTGTCCTGGATCATCTCAGTCCTTGTTAGACATTAGGGAGGATAAACTGTAAAACCCAGTGGGAGAGTGCACAGGGTAATGAGGAGATAGAGCAGGGGTCTCCAACCAGTAGCTCGCCAACCCCTTCCAGGTAGCTCGCCAACCCCTTCCAGGTAGCTCGCCAACCCCTTCCAGGTAGCTCGCCCACCCCTTCCAGGTAGCTCGCCAACCCCTTCCAGGTAGCTCGCCAAAGGATTTAGAAATAAACAAATTAACTAATGTACTCAATATTTCAAATTGTATTATTCATGATCATATTTATTGTTGTAAATAAATACAACACAATAAACCTTGTGCTCTAGTAACAAATATGCAGTGATAAATAATGACTGTACTCAATATCACAAATATATCACCACATTTTCCTCAGGGACACTTAAAGGAGTAGCTAGCTGCCTTTATCATCCCGGGAAAGTAGCTCTCTGGGTGACAAAGGTTGGAGAGTATTGCACAGTGGTAGTTATAAAAGGAACTGAATCCAAGGCCGAGGTTTCGTGGCCTGTCCCTCTGTGCTTGTCACAAAGGCTGAAGGCCAAGATACAGCCTGGCAAAGTGTTCCCTGATGGAATCAACTCACATCAATGGACTGAGCCCCAGTAAACACGAGCCGCCCCACGGAGCAGCGCCTAAAGCCTCTGCACGACACGGTCCAGGCAGAGTCCAGACCTCAGACTGGGAGCTCCATGGGTGAGGGGGGGTTTAGAGAGAATTGTTTTGCTCCAGTTTGTGTCCGTCAAGTCGCATTCTCATCGAAAGCCTGTTTAATGTGATTTTTATTTCGGGGATGGGAAAAAGTAACCAGATGGATGAGAAGTAACAGTTTGGTGACGAGGGAGCAGCGCGGCCCATTTCTGCACTGGGTCAGACCACGGGCTCCGGACTGAAGGAACCGTGCGTGACTCGACTCATCTGGTCTGACTGGACAGAGCTGTCACAAGTCATATTAGCATCCAGACAAGTCCACTAACTCAGGGCAAGCCTGCTACTGCTCCTTGGAACAAAACACTATTCTATTCTCAAAGCAAAGTTTAAATCAGCGTCTGAATATTTGACTTGGTTTTTTCCAAATGAAAAAAGGAGAGCTATATAATGTACGTTCACATAAAAAGGAATCTTTGCATTGTATTCATCTATACATTTAAACCAAACAGCCCAAAAAGGAATGTGACCTCTCAGTGTTTCTGTTCAGATTGATACAGAAACATCCACCACGGTAAAGAAATGCCTCAAACAGCCTTTAATGCAGTGTACACACTTGTTATGTCTTTTGAACTAACCAGACTGGAGGGCAGTGCTTATATAAAGATAACAAAGAGTCCCATTAAAACATCCTGACTACTATCCTGAAGGCTACAGGCGCAGTCTTAATGAAGTAGGTCCTGGATGTGGAGTAACGAGCTCAGACCACTGTCCTGCAGCGAAGGTGCGGACAGTATTTATTGGGTGCCCCTGGGCACAATGATTCAGAAGCTTCAGGATAAGGTTTAAGTAAGTAACGAAGTGAGAGTGAAGGTTAGAGAGAGCCTGGGATCTGTGATGCTTCTGACTCCTGGAGACAGCCTCAGCTTTTCTGTCCGCTCGGCCCGCTCTGTGTGGACTGCCCTGGCCTTGGGCAGGTCCCTGTGACAGGCCAGAGATGTGACAGCTGTCCTTATGCCAGACCAAGTCTGGCCAAAGTCAAAGCACACACAACAGTGTGATGGGCTCCACTGCAGGGGAGTGGAGGAGGTAAGGGCACGCTGTCCGCCTTCTTCACCCAACTTTAAATGTCAGGCCCAGCGTAATGGGAAGCATGACTGACAGCAGGATTGTTGTGTGAGGACATGTCCAGCTCCTGGGCCAGCTCTGAGTGGCCTCGTGCATATGCTGGACATACAAGTGTCCACCATGTAACCGTCTTCTGCAGCAGCACGGCCCTGACACCATGTGTCTCTAAGAAGAAAAGCATCAAGTGCAACATGATTATGGAACATTATTATAGAACATTATTATAGAACATGATCATGGATAAGATTGACCTGTGCCTCTCCACAGGCTTTACAATGATATCCATTAAATACAATGTTACTTTAACAGGACTTTTTACTGTACTGTATTAACCTAAGGATTTTACTGTAACAGGACTTTCTGAGGTTTTTTGTTTTAATCTTTGTTCCACTTCCACCCAGACACCCCTGGAAGTGCCCAGGAGAATCTCAGTTCTGGTCGTTTTTCAGAATGATCAGGAGTTCTCGTGGGTGAGCTGACGGGTCACAAAGTGGCCGCCCGCTCTCGAATAGTGTAATTCTTCTTTGGTCTGACCGTCCAGAAACACAACGCACACAATATTAATTTACAAATTCTGTGTTTGGTTGCACTGAACAGCTCAAGAATGAATCGGAGGCAAACATGGAGTGGCTGCAGAAAAGTGAACTATGAACAAACATTAGTGCACATGTTTTTGACCATTTCTCACCTTTCCTTCTGTAATCTGTGTTTTAAACCTGCTTGTACTTCCAAAGTCACATTTGACCAAAGTGGAAGTAACTTGTTTTATCCTCCACAGAGACAAATCAAGATGAGAAGGAGGAAAAAGGAACTAGACACTTTTTTCATTCGAATGCAAGGCAAGTTCTGCATTCCCAGTTCTGCAATCTGTAATTGGTCAAAATATTTTCCGAGTTGAGGTTCTGGAAAAAACACTATGCCCAGTCTCAGGATGTAGAGGGTTAGGAAACCTCTTTACATGATGTGGAGTTGGTCAGTAATAGCCTGGTCTTATCCATCCGTACTCTCAGGTCATCATCATGTCCTGCATGTA